ACTGAGCCATCTCCCCGGCTCCTATATATGAATATTTCTAAATAAATTTTTTTTGCCTTCTTTTTTTTCATTGAAAAGTTAAAAATTCCTTTATTTTTTATTCCTGGTACCACTACCACAATTTACAGGGCAATATACCTGATGTAATGAAAAGAAAGAAAAAGACAAAGCTACAACAGATAAAAGACCTCAGGAAGGTACATCTAATTGACACTACACTGCATTGAATCAATAACTGCACTTTTTGCAAACTGTGGCTATGACAGTCCTGAGGCAGAAGGGTTTCCTGTTGAAGCTACAGTGACTTTTCTGACTGTGGATCATCGTTCCTTCTGTGGCAGATTCTTACAGTTCCTCTAATGCATTTGGGACAACTGTCACAGAGTAACTGCAGCTTTCCTGACAACTCCTCTCTCTCTCTCCTGCTAAGAACTGTAGCCCTTTTCTGTTGTTTTTTAAAACCTTCCGCTACCATATCTACCACTTCCACCTCCAGCTCTATAACCTCCACCTTAGGGACTGCCAGAGCTTCTTCCACCAAAGCTGCCCCCCTTCATGGGTCCATAATTTGACTGCTGCTGTCCACTATAATTTCCAAAATCATTATTGTTTCCACCATCACAATAATTACCACCACCGAAATTTCCTCCTTCATTGTAACCATCATATTGTCCTCCACCACCACGGCATCCATCACCTTAGTTTCCATATCCTGGTCCACTACCTTACCCTCCTCTACTGCTGTAACCAGGACCACCACCATAGTTTCCACCATCACCTCCAAATCCATTATATCCACCATCACCTCCTCCATAACTACCTCTGCTGCCACCTCCCCCACCACTGTAACTCCTTCCACCACAGTTTCCACCAGGACCAAAATTCCCTCCACCACCTCCAAAGTTTCCTCCACAACCCATAAAGTTTACAGATCCACCTCCATGGCCTCTTTGTGATCCAGCAGACGGCATCTCTTGTTCAGAAAGATTTAGAAATATGCACAATTATGCCCATTACTAGTGTGGTATATCTGAACAACAATTTTGTCAACTGTGTCACAATCATCAAAAATTACAAAAATCTTCTCTTTTTCCCACTCTGCCTGCTTCCATAACTTCTATGGTTTCATTTTTGCCATATTTTTCAAAGTAGTTTCTAAAATTATATTCTTCTGTATCTTTTTTAATGGGACTCAAGTTGGAAGAGGCGAGTCTGGTCTCAAAAATGCAGGGCCATGATCCAAAGGAGCCAGAGCAGTTGAGGAAGCTGTTTATTGGTGGCCTGAGTTTTGAAACTACAGATGGTAGTTTAAGAAACACTTTGAGAAATGGGGCACACTCACAGATTGTGTGGTGATGAGAGATGGTCAAACAGAAGGCTCCAGAGGCTTTGGTGTTGTGACTTACTCTTGTGTTGAAGAGGTGGATGCAGCAGTGTGTGCTCGACCACACAAAGTTCATGGGCATGTAGTGGAGCCAAAGAGAGCTGTTTCTAGAGAGGATTCTGTAAAGCCTGGTGCCCGTCTAACAGGGAAGAAACTTTTTGTTGGTGGTGTTAAAGAAGATACATAAATTTTTCATAAGATGTATAATGACACTGGCCATGAAAGAAGAACTAAAGAATCCACTAAATAGTAACAGAGATCACGTTGGTGTGTTAGAAATCAATAGAAAAAAAAAGAAAAAAAGGAAGGAAAGAAAGAAAGAAAGAAAGACAGAGATAGGATAGAAAGAAAGACAGAAAGAAAGACAGACAGACAGACAGAAAAGAAAGAGAAAGAAAAAAAAGAGAAAGAAAGTAAGAAAGAAAGAAAGAAAGAAAGAAAGAAAGAAAGAAAGAAAGAAACTAAGAAAGAAAGAAAAAAAGAAATTGATAGCAACACCCAGGAAGATATCTCAGCAGTCTAAGCACCTGTCTGGCAAGCACAAGGATCCAGGTTTGATCCCCAGTACTGCAAGCTGTGCCGGCCCCACCACCTGATCCATTAGAGCCAGCCACTTAAACCAGGTGGAGAGGCTGAGACAGGAGGATCACTATGACTTTGCATTGCATAGTGAGACCCTGTATCAGACAAATAATTTTTTTAAAAAATCTATAGCAGGTCATTTTTATTCAAAAATTTTTACCTGATAGATTTTACAACTTATTATAAGATTCTATGTGTTTGTATGAATTACAAGCAGAAATAGTTTAGGTTTATGAGCATCTCTTAACAAACACAACTGAGCAGAGTATTTACTTGGCTCTGTATTCCTTTTGCTGTGGCAGAAATCAATTTTCTTCTCAGTCTGTATTGAGATATATATTCATTTGGAAGACTTGCCTGTAGAATAACATTTGATACATCTTTTTCCTTCAAAAAACCTTCATTTTGTTCCATACTCAAACTCCCCAGAGAAAAAATAATTTTTAAAATGACAATGTTCTTAAATCATTCAGCTATCATTTTTTACATAGCACCTTGCTATGAAAACAGAAACACTCCTAATATATGTAACAAATTCTGCCCACTTCTTTTCCGTGTGCCACTTTAACTATTGGTGGGGGTCATCACCTGCCCTTAATCTCCTCACCATGAACCAAAGCCACTACCCATTCATGTTCCTCTCCCTGATGCAACCCCACAGGATCGGGACAGGGAGGCACAGGCTGAGCACTGAAAACACGTTACTGGTGACGGTGGGAATGGGAGGAAGGTGTAGACCAGCTGCACTCCTCTAAGAAGCATGTGGCTTATGTTGGTCGTTATTTCCTTAGCTGTGTTCTCCCAAAAATTACACAGGACGCCAACCGGGCATCTGATCCTACCGGAAGAGCAGGCTCTGATACTTGACGACATTATGTATTTTACCTTTTTCTTTTTTTATTTTAAAAACAATAGAAATTAAACAAAGCATTAAAAACAATACAGAACTTCAAAGCAAGATGATAGAAAATGGACAATAGTTGTTAAATTGCATATTGTTATCTTCAAAGCAGTTGGTCAGCTTGAAACCTGCAAATGATTTTAATGTGGACAGTATCCTTATTAACGATAATGACCTGGGCTGGTGAGATAGCTCAGTGGACTAAGCACCTGCTTCGGGAAGTGCAGGCACCAGGATTTGATCCCTGGTCCCACATGCCACGCCTGGGACTCTGTTCCAAGTACATAAATGAAAAGAATAATAAATTAATTTTTTAAAACTTCATGTATTTAGTGCAGGGTCTACAGGGTCTCACTACGTTGATTGGATTCCTAGTGATCTTTCCTGTTTTTCAGCCTCCCAAGTGCTGGGATTACAGGTGCATGCCATCACACCCAATCTCATTTGCCATCTCAGCGCGCCCCGGGGACGGGGCCGGCACGACA